AAGGTTTTTAAAGTTAAGGTGTCAGAATCAGGTATGTGTGGCTGACGGCAGACTTTCCCCCTCTCACACCTCCAGACTTTGAGGTTAAAGGGCAACAGATGACTCCTCTATCAAATGACCACCAGGCACACCCCACCCACAAAGAATTCCCTCTGGTAAGCAGTTGTTTCATAAAATATGTGCTTCTTTTCAAGATATGTTACATTGTGTTGTGTTATTTCCAAGCTGAATGAAATCCCACCGTAGTCAAACTCAGCTGCAATTTGGCAAAACGTAAGGGGATCATTCATAATAATGTCAAACAAAGGGTTCCTTCCTGAGCAATTTCCCCAATAATGACCAATATAGCTCTATCATTCACAGTAAATGAGGCCATTACATGGCGACGTTAAGAGATGGTAATCACTTTCCCCTTATTGGTCTGAGAATAACCCCGTGCATATGAGGGTCAAATGACCATAGATGACCCTGGTGGGTGAAGGCACTTTGAACTCTGACCTCTGGGCCACACGGCTGATCCTGACCTCCAGAGAGAAGAGACAGAGTCCTGGAGCAAAGACCAGTTGCTCGAGTCACTTCAGGAGAGAGAAAGTGGAGTATGGACAGTAGTAGGCCTAGTGTGGATTTTAAGGACATTAAGCGCTCTGCTGTGGGAATAAAACACGCCTGAATTTAAGTGCTAGTTCACTTTGATTTTTAGAGTACAACAGTGGCAGGATGTGGCTAATTACACTAGTAATCATTTATTTAAATGTATGTTTACATACCCAATTTGATCTGGTCCTTGAAATTGTTCCGTACTAACTTGTAGCAAACCAGGCCATATTCTGACCAGTTTTGAGCAGAACCATTGTATTCAGATTAATGAGGCCATTGCACAAGGTATATTGGAAAAAAAGATTTTTAGCAAGATGTCAATCAGCAGATGTTGCAATCTCCATCAACACTTACCAACCTATGACGCACAGAGGGATGTCGTCACATATTGCACTTTAAGTAAAGGAAAACCTGGTATTTTTGGCAAGCAACTTTTTGCGTAAAATGCTCTGAATTGTAAATTGGCTGGACCAAGGAAAAGGGGTTTCTGTTTAAGATTCATTATTGCCTTAATGCAACATATCATAAATGTGTTTGTGAGTGAGAAAGACAGTCCTTCACTTCGGTACACAAACTTACGTACATCTTATCATTTATCCAATGAATTACCATGACATTTGGTAGGGACAACGATGGTTTCTGCACAATGTTTCGTTTGAGTATTGGGATTGGTTTTTCAGAACTGATGGTCAGATGTGACCAAATTCAACAAGGCGTATCCCGTACATGCACAAGGCAGTGCTGTAGGCTGTTTGTCTGATGGGCAAATGTTTTTCACTTCCCCCTGTCCTCCAGCTGTTCCATGCCTGATTGCACCCATGCAGTGCCCTTAAAGCAGGCTGGCAAATGGTCGGGCAATCCTCAAGCAGCCATTCCTCGCCCGCCCGACTGAGGACACTTGACCTCCTCCACAGGGGTCACTAGTCACTTTCATTATGGGTGTAAAGATCTGAAGGGGTGACATTCGCCCATCCATCCCAATATCCGGGTTTGGTTTAATCCGTGCGGGTTTGGGTTCTATGCAGTGAAGCCAGACGCTCACATGCACCATTGACAGGGAGGTCATTGTGTGAGCAGCACAGAAATGTATCAGGAATGGAGACTTTCTGGATAAAGGCCTGTTCTGCAGACCTGCAGCTGAACCAGCCTGTTTGCATATCAATACCTTCAGGCCTGAATAACTTCAGTCAGCTGATGAATGAGAGATTTGCTGCTATCTCAAGTCCCAGGGCTCTTTGGTGCAGAGAGAGACATAAAGGAAACTTTTCACCAGCGGGAAACTCGACGACATAGCTGGCTGGTTCCCTTTACGCACTCCTCACACATGAATGGGGTTGTGTGACTCGAAGGTATTTTATAACTGGAGAGTATGCTGGGTGGAAAATCAACACCACCCACCTGTTTAATGCTAGACATTTAGTAAATATGAATGGAGATAACGGATCGTTGTCTAAACTATATTCTGAAAATGTCGTTGGCTGTTTAAGTGGCTTTTTTTTACATTAAACTATTTGATATTGTAGGTTTTCTTATCCGGTTTTCAGTTATTTTGCTCTTTGGAAAAACAACAAACTACATATAAGATACAAAGCAGCATTAATTTGGAGCGATATTCATAGACACCTGGCAATTATTCAATTCAAATGTTGGTCCTATACAACAAAACAGCTTTTACTGCTAAAAAATGAGAGATAAATAAAATAAAACATGATATTAAAACTGCAATAAGCATGCTATAAAGTTTGTAATTCAAATGGGAATGGACGAGTTGGGTAATAATTATAATCAACTCAACTCAACCTAAAATTGATTCCATTGTTGATTTGTCCTTAAATTAAATATCAACTTCAACATCTGCATGAACAAGAAGGTAGATGGATGAACATGGAAAGATTAAAGTCATTTACAGCATGTGTGCTCCCTTGTGTAAAGGTCCTGCATCGATTGCAGATGTATGGAGGATATATCAGGTGTTAAATAATATTTTCCAAATGTGTGATAGCGGCCCATGCTCGACCTCTGAGTTAAATCAAAGTGACAGTGGGACATGTAGGTATAAGCACATATCCCTGCAGCCTATAAACTAAACAGGCAGTTATTGATCCGGACCACCTCCCTTCAGTGGAGGTCCCAGAGGTTGAGAATGCAATATTAATGGATTGGGGGGGGGGAGTTGTTGTATACCCGTGTGTGTGTTCATTTGTGTGTGTGCATGTGTGTGAGGGCATGCTCATGCAGGGCGACTCCATTAACCAGCGTGTTGGTAGCGGTCAGCAGTTTATGGCAGGCAGGCTCACAGATCAAGGGGGAGCGAAAGAGGTCAAAGATTGTCCATTCCCAAAAGGTCTCCAATCACCCAGTGAATTGATTGCTTACACACCAGAAAAGCCACTGTCCTGCGTTAACTTCAAATTTAGCCCCTGCAGCCATATGACCCCTCATAAACCCCCTGATCAGTCACTACAAACACCAACCTTTGCAACTTGATGCTATAGCTAGCAGCCTGTTAGCTTAGCTCAGGGTTGAGGTTGACTGACAATAGGGGGGAAGCTGTAAGGTGATCAGATTTTCAAAAACTAAAACCGGGGACATTTTGAGTTTTGTGGTCAATATATCATTAACATATCCAATTTTCTTCACTGTTAAAGAAAAAAGGGGGACAATTCTGGTTTAATGTAATTCGAACATTTTAACTGTTGGATACAAACAGAAGGACGATAGCTCATATATGAGACTTCAAAGGTCTTTTATTTTGAAACTGTATATCATATTGTCCAGATTCTTTCTGAGTGACAAGATGGGGTGTCCTGCTGTCAGACTGGAGTGAAATAAGTCTTTGTTAATTTAACAGTTTTTTATTTATTCTTGTATAAAAACAGAAGGACGATAGCCCATATATGACATTTCAAAAGTATTTTATTTTGAAATTCTTCATCAGATTGTCCTGATTTTCTCTGATTGACTAGATGGGGTCTCCTGCTATCACCCTGAAGTGAAATAAGTATTTGATTGATTTCGAATAACTCTTTGATTATGGACGGTTTCCATTAAATAAATAATAATCAAAATATAGATGGACAATAGATCTAATTTGAGATTTTAAACAGCATACATTTTCTGTGCTTCAGAAAGTAATGTTATTTTAGGAGTGTTGTGAGATGGTGTCAACATCAATTGAAATTAGTCACCCAGTGGAAATGTCAGATATGTCTTCATAACTGTATACTTACATTTTGCATTCACTCAGTCAGTTATAATGTGGTAGTTATACGTAGTTTGTTTTAAATTATTATTGATCACATTGTATAGTACATATTTCTTAATTTAAGCTCCAGTATATATGAATGTGTTTGGTGTGTTTTTTTAGGTATATTTGTTATTGAACGAGTAAACGCTTTTATTTTGAAGGCAGTTTTTACAGGCCTCTATCTATTCGTGCACTGCAATTCAATGTGCGGGCTGGCTTGACTGTGTTTTCCGAAGTGGGGACTGGTTTGACTCGTTTGACCACAGTCTGTTTACCCAGTGTTTCCTGACATGAAACATTTTATTTCAACTTGCTACTGTATGTGTTTTTAACGTATATTAAAAAACGGGGACATTTCCGGGGACAGTTTCAACCGGGGACAGGCCAATACAAACGGGGACTGTCCCCGGAAAACGGGGACGTCTGGTCACCCTAAGGCTAAGCTATTAGCTCTGATGAATGTAACCCAAGTGAATTAAATAATCATGAGCAGAGGTGCTGATAGGCATATTTGATGTCTTTTGTTTAAAAGTCATAAAGTCAAACTAGCTTGCTCACCCTGTTTCCATTCCTAAGCGAAATTGCTGCTAGCTGTAGCTTTATATTTAACATACAGACGTGACAATGGCTACTCTTATCTATCTCTTAGCAAAAAAGTGCAAACATGTATTTCTCAAATCAGTACTCGTTGGCGTATTTTATCACCTTTGAACAGTGCCAGGTAAACTGTTTCCCCAGTTTTCAGTCTTTCAGCAAAGCTAATTGGTTGCTGACTCTAGCTTCAACTGTTGATATCAATACAAATCGTTATTAATTAAAACACTACGTTTCAAAATGATTTAGTCATCATTATAAGACTTAGCCTACTTTATGATGAACAATAGCTAAACTAGAGCATTTTTCATTTGTATGTAAATAAAAGTCTGCTTTCCTACAAGTCATCACACAACACAGTGATTATTTGCATTTTCCTCTTAATGATCTGCCTGTTTCTGGTAAAGAATCATCTGCTCAGCAGATGTATTTTAGATTCCCGGCAGCAACAACATTAGTTTGTTTGGATCAAATACAAAGAGGATGGACAGAGTGCTTCTCAGAAAAATGAGCCCCAAAACACATGTTTTAGAATAAGAAAAGTTTTAGTCAGAATTTCAAATACAAAAGTCTCAGAGAAAAACATCAGAACAATATTTTGTCTTCTTATAAATTAATCTTTTAGAAATATACAGTTGCAAGTACTGTTTGTGGAGGTGAGTGTTGGTTAAATGAAGTCGAAAACAATCACAGATGCTGGTTTTGTCTGTAGAGAACATTTTATACAAGCATTGAAATGGCAACATAAATATCAGCAAATTTACAGCACATAACGGATTGCATTTTAAAATGCTGGTACTGTTCCCACCATACTTAAGCTTTCATTTTAAATCAAAGACGGTCCAGAAAAAAAGTTTGCATTGAAAGAACTAAAGAAAAAACAGAATTTCCTAAAACTGCAACCACCGTGTAAATGTGACAGAGGTGAACTGAACAATGCTGATGTGATTCAATAATTCTGAAGACTTATTTATTTTGATTGTGCTTAAATCAAAACCATTTGCTTCTTTCCATGCTGTCAAGGGTTGTAGATTCTTTTAGCAGAGCTCCCATGCTTCTCTGGAAGCTCCAACATTTCATTTTGTTCATCGTAGCTTTGCCAGGCTGTTAAGGCTTGTTACTCTTTTGCCATTTATATATTTTATGCACATCTCTTGTTGGCACATTTTCGGAGTTATTTTCAATACTGAGGCTGTTAAGTTTTTTGGAGAGCAATAAGGGCTTATCACACTCCTGCTTCTAGGGGGTGCCAAGTGCAAATATGACTTCCATCTGGCTTGTTCTTGTCATTTTGGGTCAGCAACCACCGCTTCCAAAAAGGTTTGCTGAAGTAGCCCAAGGGATTGAGGCCCTCACAACCCTTGTTAGCATCGCTGTTGTAAATCGTGATGAAAAAAATGCAGTCTTCATAGCTTAAAAAATAAAGAAATGGCATATTTTGAACAGTAAAAGCTTTGGTAACACACAGTCTTTAAGATATCCCTGTCTGGTTTTTGGGTAGTTGGCTGAACAAGAACGCTACTAACAGTTTTTAAGAGCTTTGGTGAGTAGGCGTTCAGTCCCAGCCAAAATTGTGGCCGGTCATTTGGTAAAACTTGAGATTGAAGGGTCTGTAGAAGTCTCTGAGCCTATGCAGGACCTCAGAGGGGATTTGGGGATGAGGCCGACCCTTCGACTTCCCCAAACAGCGAGGCCTGCTGCTCCCCTCTGGCTTCTTTAAGCACGGGAAACCTTTGGTCTGGTTGAAGTAGAAGTGCTTGTCCGTCACCACCCGTTTGAGCCCCAGGAAGTCCTGGACCCGGCCCATTTCGCCCGCTGGGTCCGTCACGAGGCGTTCTCCGCTAACAAAGAGGAGACGTGAGAGCGGGAAGAAGCGAAGCCAGTTCTCGAGGTGCTTTGCGTAGATGCCGATGCGCACGGCACTCCAAGTTGTGTCGATGAGGCCTGTGGTGGCGTTGCGAAAAGCCAGGTTCTGAAAGGACGGGAGCCCGGGAGATTTGGTCAGAGTCTGGGTGTAATCAGAGACAGCCCGGGTCACGGGGTCACGAACCACCACGATGAGCTTTGTGTGGCGGCTCATGGAGAAAACACGGCGAGGGGCTTCTTTGGTGATGAAGTAACTGGGGGTCTTCTCCATGGTGATCTGGCCCTCCAGAGTGCGAGGCATCAGATTCCTGCATGACAGAAAAAAAGAGTTACATTAATAAAACTGTTTAAATACTACATGAGTGTACACACACAGCTTGTTCTATAATACAAAAATACATCTACATATTATTTAATTCATTACACATTTCCCAGATTTTCTTCTTATTCCCAAAGCATTCCTTTGATGATGCCTCACTTGCCTTGAAGGCTTTTTGATTTTGCTTTGTAAATAGTGGGATAAATCTGAGATTAGAGGAAGATAAACTTGACATTAGCTGCTGGCATTGATGGAGAGACCATGTCAGCGGCGACTACGAATGAGTCTGAACGGCTACTAGGAAAACCACAAGGCTATATAAACCTCAGGAAAGTAATTTCCTCTCATCCACTACTTCCTCCTAAACAGGCTCCCCCCAGCTCTCGGTCTTTAAAGCTGGGAGACTGTCCCACAGGACTGAAAAAATAGCCATACCACGGGTACAGAGAAAAGTAATTAAAGTTAGCTACATTATTTTAAACCTGAGGTAGCTTTTAAACTCTCCAAATGTTCAATACCAATAAATTCAGTTTTTAATTGGTGTGGAAACAAAACAAATGAGACATTATGGTTTAGCAAGCGGACGCCTTCCTTGTTTTGATATACTTACTGAACAGTTAGCTTAACGGGAGCCACAATGACTGTAGCTTAATCTATGGAGTTAGCCCTGACTCTAAACAAAAATAGGAAATAAATGAATGTAACATTGGCGATCTTTAGCAAGCCAGCTAAGAACACACTACTTGAAAATAAATTGGAGTTACTGAGAGGGACATTTATCTCCTTTGGTAAACTGCATGTCCACCGTCAAGCTTACAGAGTGTTATTGGGATAAGTGACAGTATTGAAGTAGTTATTGAATTTCCAATTGCTATTCCTTACATTACATATTACGGAAAAAAAAGTTATGACATAACTGTAATACGTTACTGCCATGGAAAATAAATAAACATTGATTGTGAATGTGTTTTTTATTGTCAACTTTCTTTTTTTGTATTAATGTTAGTATGAAAAACAGCAGTAGTGGACAGCAGTTGTAATTGTGATGTTGTTGATGCACTCGTTTTTTGCCATGTCTTATTTTGTTGCAGCAAACTACTGTATGCTCCCAAGTCTCATTAATGCATTTTAGTCCAAAATTATCCAAAGAGGTCAGTGAAGTATTGTCTATTGGTAACCGTGTGTTCGCATTCAATCCTGGTTATTGCTTTTGGCCCTTTGTTTGTTATTATCATCAGTGGTTGAGGTATTCTAAGCACACTCTGGCTCTTAATAGACTGCACTGCCCTCTTCCTCTTGATCTTCACCCCTACTTAGATGACTCAGAGGCTGAGAGGACATATAAGAGCCTGAAAAAATACAACAAACCCCGACCAAAGACTGCTTTTGACTGAGAGTTGTTATAAAGTGCCTGAGCAGATTGTATATAAAACAAGGCAAATGGAAGGAAAAAGGAAAAACCTATTCGTCTTGTGTCCTTTATTTAAATCAAATGCTACAGTTACACTAAAATGGAACGTAATATCCTCCATTTCAACTCAAAAGAAAGCCCCTTTTGTTGGGTTAAAAAATATTCAGATCTGAGGCTCAGTTTGTTATAGAAATCTAAGCATTGAGGAAGACCAGTATTGCAACTATGAGAGATCCCTCAGCTAATTTCCATGCTTCCCCCCTCTTTCTTTAGGAGTCATGTGGTGACGGTTGGGTCGTAGTCTTCGTGGTTGGTCTGTAAGTGAAGGGCTTATGGGGCTCTGAGCTCTGTTTTGTGGTGATGGAGCCGACTCCATTCCTCTCTTTCACTTTGATCCAACACACACAGTCAGCTCCAAGTCCAGCGTGTCCCTGGCATGAAGCTCCGAGGGTAACACCAAATACACAACTTATGGTATTCATAAGAAACCCTTGAGATGTGTAACAGGGCCGGGCCTAAACAATAACACCAAACAGTTTGGAAAAACAAAACTGTTTCTATGGGTAGTCTCAACATTGGGATGTACTACAATGAGCGTTTTAGTTAAAAAACCTTTGAGTTACAACCTATTGCTCTGAAGCCAAGTTTCTGAAGCTGTGGGCGCAGGCTTATTTCTGGTTACCACATGACGTGAGTGGCAAGGAAGCTTTTAAGAATCTAAAAAGTTAGATTTCTCATTTGGAGCCAAGTGCAGTTAAGCAGCTCTGGCTCTGAGGGGCCATTTGGATGCTGTTATCCTGACGTGTCATTCATCCGGGAGGTTATTTTGCAGGAATTAGATGTTGGTTCGATCCATCTACTGCTATTTTACCTGCCTGTGCTTCCTTCCTGAATGTCGCAGACTGACTCGCAAACAACCCCCGAGAGAACATGCCTGATCAATTAAGTGTTTAGAGAGCATAAAAAGGGAGCATTCCATCCTTTAATCAAAAATATTTCTGGCTGCAAGCACTCCTTCAATATAACTGTCAGGGGAGGCTTATTTTATGATGAATTTCTCCCAGTATAACATAATTGCCTCCTACTGTATCATGTGCATCTTATCCACATGAATGCAAAGAAAAGCAACATTTCTTTTTCTGTGGTTGCAGGCAGTGCATCCCATGCCCACAACAACATCTGAAAGCAACCGAGGTGCCCGTGTGTTTGCAATGTTTGGTGTTTTTTTGTGAGCGTGTCTATGGCACTAAATGGATGTTTTTGATTTCATCCAATCAGTCTAATGGAAGCCACGGCGTTCCCTTGGTGGTGGAGTGGGGCTTCCTTTGACATCATGTTTACATTTTGAACCACTAGCCTGTAATCACAGCACAGCTTGAATACAACAGAAGAGCCCTGGAGGAGGCCACACAGTGGTGGAGAAAAACACAATTTTAGAGCACAGATGTAGAGAAGAAAATAAGCAGTGACGTAATCCTCTCATTAACCTGGATTCACATCTGAGAAACTTCTTATCTCATTTCTCTCGTGAGGTTAATACATAGCGTTTGTTCTTCTTATCTGATATCAGCCTCTGTATGGTTTCCAAAGAGTCTTTATAGAAAACTAGCAACCTGTTTGTTTTTATCACACCTTTAGCGTTACCATCTGGAGCAGGAATGCAGTCGGCTTTTAAAAGTGTGCAGATGTGCGTTTATCGGTGTATACAAAAGTGTCCAGACGCTCACGTTTTAGCTGAGCTCTTTGTAGGTGGCCTGAGGTTTATTAGGGCCTGTTTAAAGCACTGCAGGCTAATAGGCTACTGTTTATGACTACGATATGAGGAGTGAGCTGTGTATACTGACCCCCGTAAAAAGCTGCCAGGAGAAAGGCGAGCCTAGTTTATGTTGAGATTGATTGTTTGAATACCATTTTCTATTTCCGCCCAGCAAGCCATGTGGAGATAACTACATATTTGGTCAAACTTGAGGTAATACCAGAATCTATTGACAGATTTTACAACTTAAAAAGTTACAGATGGATTGTTGAAATAACATTTTCTATTATTGGCATGCAGGCCAAGCTGAGGTAACGACATATTTGGTCACTACCAAGATCTGTTGACATATTTACTACCTAAAAAGTGCCAAAGAAATGTAACTTTTCCATGAAAACACTAAGCAGTATTTGCAGTATAACAAGCAAAGCCAAACCACACTGGCTCGGTAAACTCTGCTACTCGGAGACAGCTATATCAAGTCAAAGCTATATAGCCTCAGCTAAAGGTATATTTAGTTGCTTTGCCTAACAATATCTGTAATTGAAATATATGAACTTAAATGAACTGACTTCTTGGTGCACTGAAACGATGCAGGCACTAAATCCAATCATGAGCGAGAACAAAACAGATTAATTTATTTTAAAACAATGTATACACGGGGAGAAAAGAATCCCTCTCAATCATCACTTATGACCCAGAAGTGTGAGTTGGTGTGTGTATATTTAGAGACCCTGAACTATGCCTGGATTTCCTCTTTTCCTTTAATGAAATACACAGTTTTTGACAATGATGGGAGTTCCTATGCCTCTGACTCCAGCTGTCAGTGTGATCAATCGCCTAAGCTCCTTTAAATTCTCCTGTCTGGAAACAAATGCAAAAAAATGTAGCTCTAGGTTTGTAGAATCTGCATATTCACTGTTTTCCTGTTTCATCTGAGTTCAATATAGGTATTTTTCACGTGTTATATGTTAAAATCTAAATGTTCCGCAGCCTGAAAATCCCTTTTTTTTTACTGACTTCCCTGTTAATGTTGTTATTTCTCTATGACTTTGTAGGGAATGAAAGGGTTCCCTTACTAAAGTGCTTCTCAAATGTGAGTGAGTGTTTTATTTCTAAAAAAGTTTTAGGCAGGTACTGTAAACACGGTGGCTATTATCTCATTTTTATTTGGAAGCACAAGCTATTTTTATTCCCGTTTGTACAACACGCATTTCTTTTTCTGCACTTTCTACTGAAACACACACACACACACACACACACACACACACACACACACACACACACACACACACACACACACACACACACACACACACACACACACACACACAAAC